TCCACTTTATTATTTTTTTTAATTTAAAAGTCCAGATTAAGCAGTGGCAAAGGGGCCACCTTCATGACGGTCGATTAGCTGAACGGGGCAGGGAGTCAGTCCCAGTTACTCCATTTTCAGGTGCAGGAAGTCGAGGGCCACAGGCAGAAGGCTCTCCCCCAAGCATGAGAGCATGTCCCGCAGTGTGCCTGCTTGCGTGGGGCACTTGTGGTCAGCACCTTCGGGGAGTCCCTCCCTGTGTCAGGTATGGGTTTCCACTGCCCTGTGTCCTGGGGCAGATCCCTAGAGCCACTGTAGCCTGTTTCACCCTCCCTACACCAGTGTGGAGAGTTGCTGTTGGTCCCCTTGTGTCCTGGGTCATGCTGCCCATGTGTGGTGTTCCCACTGCCCTGTACTATGACATGCTCTATGAGGCCATGGGGTTCTATGTGTGTTGTGCATGGCAGGTGACTTTTCTGGATTTGGGGTGCTGGGGAGGTTGAAAGCTAGGGGATGGTGTAGAGTAATGTTAGGGGGCTGGAGCTCCCAAGGTGCAGGATTGGGCCTGGCCCCAAAGGGTGGACCCCCATCCCTCCTTCATGGGGTGGGGGCCAGAGCAGAGCTTGGTCTTCGCTGGATCGCCATGAGCTGACCAACACCTTCATAGGTGCTCACTGCAACAGGAGAGAGGAGGGGAGTCATGATGGGGGACGCCATCCCCTCAGTCCCCACCACCATCCTAGGGGACACCAGAGGCCACCTTCCTTAAGCAGCTCCAAACAGATGTCAGGGTAGGGGGCCTGGAGCTGACCCCATCTAACCTGGGGAGCCAGAAGACACCCAGAATAAATTGCCAAGAAGCTTTGGAGACGTTCTGGTTCCCCTAAGTGGCCAAGGGGGGCTGGCAGATCCCACCCAGCAGCGTTAATACAGTCCCGCTGCGCTCGTGGTTCCGCCATTGGCCTCCTGCCCCAGCACCAAATAAGTCCCACCTGGCAAACCCCAGGTGGGCGGGGCCCTCAGAACGAGATCCGGCTGCTGGATCCCACCCGGCAGAGCCCACGGTTTCCAGAATCCCACCCAAGGAGAAATGCGGTCGGGGCGGGTCTAGCTGAGGCAGTCCCCCATGCAGGGCCGCCCCACCGGGCTGAGCCAGGGGCAGACCCGCACACACCTGGCCACCTGGGCCAGGATCTCCTTGATGCGGACCACGAGCTTCTCGTGCTGGGCGGGGTCCCGCTCGATGGCTCCGTGCAGCTGCGTCATGTAGAAGTCCAGCGTGCTGAGCGTGGGCGTCTCGCCGGTGCCTGCGGGCGGCAGGGGGCTGTCAGCCGAGCCCGGTGTTGGAGTAGCTGTGGTTGGGGCTCCAGGGCACAGAGGTCAGAGGATTGGGGTCTTTAAGGGAGGAGTCCTGGGGCGGGGGCCCTTGGCGCGTGTCCGTGGGGTCGGGTGAGGGGTCAGGGCGTCTGGACCTGAGAGTCAGGGTCAGTTGTGAGAGAAGGTGGGGGTGAGGGTGGGTCAGAAGACATTAGTTGGCCCGGGAGAGGTTGTGGTGGGAGGTATGGGGGTCTAGTTGGGGAGAGAAAATTAGTCAAAACCGGCCAAAGACAATCACTAAAGGCGGGACGGCTGGGGTCAGTGAGAGAGGGGCTGGCTTGGGCCTGGGTCAGTGAGGGCGGGGCAGTCAGTGCGGCGGG